ATACACGCATATAGAAATATATATTTTTAGAGATTTATATATATAAATATATATTTTTATAGTTATATATACACATATATAGAAATATATATATTTTTAGAGATTTTTATATATATGTATACACACATACACGCCTATGGAAATATATATTTTTAGAGATTTATATATATGTACATATAGAAATATATTTTTTAGAGGTTTATATATATATACACATAAAAAATATGTTTTTCTAGTTATATATAGTCACATAGAAATATATATATTTTTACAGATTTTTATATATATGTATACACACATAAAGAAATATGTATTTTTAAAGATTTCTATATATGTACATATAGAAATATATTTTTTAGAGATTTATATGTATACACAGAGACACATATAAAAATAGATATTTTTATAGTTACATATACATGCATATAAAAATATATATTTTTATAGATTTTTATATATATGTATACATACATACACACATATAGAAATATAAATTTTTAGAGATTTATATATATAAATATATATTTTTATAGTTATATATACACACATATAGAAATATATATATTTTTACAGATTTTTATACATATGTATACACTCACACATATAGAAATATGTATTTTTAAAGATTTCTATATATGTACATATAGAAATATATTTTTTAGAGATTTATATATATACACAGAGACACATATAGAAATAGATGTTTTTATAGTTATATATATATGCATATAGAAATATATATTTTTATAGATTTATATATATATATACACATACATGCATATAGAAATATATATTTTTAAGATTTCTATATATACATATAGAAATATATATTTTTAGAGATTTTTATATATATGTATACACACATACACGCATATAGAAATATGTATTTTTAGAGATTTATATATACACGTATAGAAATATATATTTTTATAGTTATATATACACATATAGAAATATATATATTTTTAGAGATTTTTATGTATATATATACACACGCATATAGAAATATTTTCAGAGATTTCTGTATATACATATAGAAATATATATTTTTACAGATTTGTATATATATACATGGACACATACAGAAATATGTATTTTTATAGTTATATAAAAAAATATATTTTTAATAGATTTTTATATATATATATATATACACACAGATATATAGATTTTTATAGATTTCTATATATATATCTCCATACATGCATATAGAAATAGATATGTTCTTTATAGATTTATATACACACAGAGATAGAAATATATATGTATTTTTATAGATTTATATATACATATATATGGGTGCCTCTGTGTGTGTGTGCGTGCACATGCACACATGAACACTCCTCCTGTGTGTGTTTTTATATATATATATATAAAAACATATATATATGTGTGTGTGTGTGTATATTATATACATATATATATGGGGGGTGTATAAATATACATGTATGTATACATATTTATATATATATATATGCATGTATGTGTGCATACATATCGCAATGTATATATGTATATATGTGTGTATGTGTATATATGTGTATACAAACCTGTATTTTATATATATCTGTACATGTATGCATATATATATCACATATATATGTATATATGTACATGTATGTATGATATATATGTATGTACATGTATAAGTGTATTGTACATGCATATATGTACATGGAAGTACACCAGTGCATATATAAATATTTATAGGTGTATATATAAACATACACACTCCTGTATTTTATATATATATACATATATATATATATATGGACACATGTCCATTATATACATATATATATATATTTATATTTATATTTATATATTTATATATACATAAATATATATTTATATTTATATATATATATATATATACAGCTTTTTATACATATTTATATGTTTGTGCACACATATATATGTACACACACCTGTATATATTTATTTATATGTGCATACATACATGAACACACACACCTGTATAGGTATTTGTGTGTATATCCATACATATACATGTACACACACAGACCTGTTTATATATATATTTATATGTGTATATACACATGTAACCATACCCCTGTATATATTATATATTTATATGTACCTACATGCACACACACACCTGTAAATGTGTTTATATGTGTACACATACATGTATGCATGTGTACATACATATCTATATATACACCCCTGTATATATAGATATAAAATATATATACTTATATGTGCATATATACATGTAAACACGCCTATATATATATATAAATATATATATAAATATATATATAAATATATATATAAATATATATAAAAATATATTTTTATATATAGGCATGTTTACATGTATATATACACATATAAATATATGTATTTTTTATATATATATACATATAAATATATGTATTTTATATATATATACATATAAATATATGTATTATATATATACACATATAAATATATGTATTTTATATATATACACATATAAATATATGTATTTTATATATATACATATAAATATACGTATTTTATATATATATACATATAAATATATGTATTTTTTATATATATAAACTGCATGTGTGTAGATATCCATGTACACTCACACAGAGGGGTGTCAGTGTGTGTGCACAGTGTGGTGTTTGTGTACACCTGTATCAGACCACCGTGGGCATTTTATATATATTGCTATATATAAAAATAGAGATATATAATATTTATTTAAATATATATATAAATAGGCCATGTATATCCCATATATGGGCAGTGCAGGGGGACAGCTCCCACTCCCTCTGTCCCCAGTTCCCCCCCAAAGGGCAGGGCAGCTCTGACTCAACAGGAGACCAGTGGGAAATATTGGAATGCTCAGGGGAGAAATATTGTTGGAATGCTCAGGGATGCTCCGGAACAGCCCGTCCTGCCCAGGGCTGAAAAACACCGAGGTCAAGGAAAACACCGAGGTCGGGCTCTTTCCTTCTTGAAAGCAGCAGATCACACCCTCAAGCCTTTTAACCATTTATTTCATAAAAACTCCTTCAAATCTCAAAAATCTCCCCAAAAATTCCCCGTGGTAAAATTCCTGGACATCGTTTGAGAACCACAGGGAAGAAAACTTTTGGCGTTGGTCGAATCCTTCCGTACCTCGGGAGCCCCCAGCCCCTTTATTTTCTGTAAATTTGCCACGAAGTTTCCGAGGACTGACTTTCAGGAAACCTTATCCAGCCCTGGGAGCGGGGATACAATCACAGGACGTGTCCCCCCTGTCCCCATGGGGGGGACACGAGTCACCCGCTGTCCCCTGGAGCCCCCCTTGGACACACAGACCACGCGGCAGCCGCTGCACGTCGCCTTTTATTCCAAAGCTGGAAAAAAAACAAGCTCTAAACCGTGTCTGAATTTGGCTTCAGCAGAGACAAATTGGCAACTGGGTGTGTGTGGGGGGGTGGACGATCCCGTGTAGCTGCAGCAGCACATCCCATTCCAGCTCAGACCCCCAGGAAAGCATTCCCAGCACGGCCCAGGGGCTGGATGTGCTCCCAGGGCAGTCGGTGAAGGGAAGGAAGGACAAGCTTTGTCCTCACCTGTCCCCTTCCTGCTGCTTCCAAACCAAGGCTCAGCTCTTCACCCCCAAAATAAGGGTGTTCCGCTGCAGACACCCCACGGAGCAGAGGGATGAGGTTGGAATTTGGGTCTGGCAAGGGATCTAAGCACTCCCTGGGCACCATGGCACGGGCTACTGGTTTGGCTGTCCCACCACGTCCAGCCTGGCGTGGAGACCCCATGGAATGGGGACAAGGAATCAAAGCCAGGAGAGCCCCAGCAGCGCTCGGGGCTCCTCGGGTGGAACAGGCTGGAAATTTGGCCCCGGGGGAGCTCTCGGGGAGGGGCTCCACCACATCCCAGAGGCAGGATGGGGATGGCTGTGGCTCCCGGAGAGCTGCCAGCCCCGGGAGGGGGTGTCACAGCATGCGGGTCACCACCATGGTGAGGAAATCCTCGTAGCTGAGCCGCACGTTCCCCGCCAGCGCCGTGTCCTTCTCCCGGAAGGCGTCGGTGAGGCTCTGCAGCTGCATGCAGATGTGGATGAACCGGTCCAGCTGGATGCTGGGATTGGGGCAGCGCTGGCCGTAGCGGGCCAGCAGCAGCTGGCTGAACTGGGGGCTCAGGTTGTAGCCCATCTGGGAGAAAGCTGGGAGCAAGAAACATCGGGATTAAGCCTTCCCGGAGGGAGAAACAGCGGCTGTGTCCTCCTCCCCTGCTGGCACACACACCCCATGTCCCACATTCCCCATGTCCACCCCATGTCCCACACATATGGGGTCTATGTGGCCTATGGAGCCCATGGGACTTGTGGGGTCTATAGGGCTTATGGGGCCTATGGGGCCTGTATATCCTATAGGGCCTATGGAGCCTACAGGACCTGTGCAGCCTTTAAGCCTATGGGGCATATGTGGCCCATATGTGGCCTATCTGGCCTACAGGACCTGTGGGGTATATGGGGCCTACAGGCCTGTGAGCCCATCTCCCACCACCGCGGTGTTCCCTTCCCACACTTCCCACCAAGGGTGTGCACGGGGCAGGGCTCCCCAGAGGGAGGAATCAAACCATGGCACAAATTCCAGACATTTTTCCCCCCTTCACACACGCCCAAGGGCTCCTCCCAGAAAAACAGGCTCGACCTACATATCATTTAGGGGGGGAATTCTGGGCTTCCTTAAGGAAGGAAGTTTGTGCCACAGCCCTGCTGCAGCTCATCACCTCCTGTCCCGTGGGAAGCTCAGTGCCAGCTCTGCTACGGCCGGATTAGCCAGCCCAGCATTCCCAGGATGCACAGGAGGCACCTCTGGAGCTCAGAGACCCCCCAGCCTGGATGCAGGGACCACATCGGGAGGAGTCACCGAGCCCGGCTGGAAACAAACCTGGAGCAGAGCCAGGATGCTCAGGATGGGCCAGGCTGCTGTCCCTGACCCTCACCCACCTTGCTGGAGCTCAGTGAAGCTGATGGAGCCTGACTGGTCCCTGTCATACTGCTGGAAGAGGCTCTTCCACTGCTGGATGAAGCGGAGCAGGGCGGAGAATCCGTACACGTCGATGCGCCCCGACCGCGTCTTGTCGAACATGTCTGGGCAGGAGGGAGCAGGAGCAGGGCAGTGAGGAGTGGAAACGCTGCAGGAACTCCCAGGCAGCCCAGGATCTGTGCCATGGCTTCCCCCAGCCCCAAAATGCCCCCCTCACCACAACTGAGATCAACTGGGACCATTCCATCCCTGAGGCTGGTAAGAAATGGCACCAAAGCCTCGTGTCGGGGCAAGCTCTGGGTCAGTCTCCACATCACTGAGGTTCTCCTTCTCTTTCTTCCCTGGCTCTCCGGGACCTGGGGCTCACTTGGCCTTGAGCAGAGCTGGGGTTCCCTTTTCCAAGCAGGATTTTGGGCCCCTGATTCGTTTCCTCCACCAAAAGGGCACCAGGAGCTGCTTGGTTTGCCCAGCCCTGGCTCCAGCTGCTCAGGGGAGCGATGCCCAGGTAACAGGGGAATGCTGTAGGGATGGGCTTCCCCCCAGCACAGGTTGACCCCAAATGAACCAGTTTAAAAGCAGGAAGAGGGAAGGGAGACCCCAGACTCACTGATCATCAGCAGGCAGGTCTCATCGTTGAACGACGACCAGTTGTTGTTGACCAGCGCCTGCTTCAGCTCCTTCACGGAGATGAACCCGCTGTGATCCACATCCACCGTCTGGAACCAGGAGAAGGCCTCGGGGTCCACACCTGGGGGGGCATTGCCTGCGTGGGGAGAGGCCATCAGTGGTGTCACCCCCTCAGAGAGGCCACGGGCTGGTTCTGTCCCAGGGGGTGGCTTCACAGGGACGCGGCCGACACCCAGGGCCAGTCAGCACTTCTGCTCCAAGCGGGTTTTACAGCTGTGGGATCCTGGGAAAACAGGTCTGGGAGGGCTGGGATTGGCACATGGTGTGTGGGGGCTGAGAAGGGGCTGTAAACTAGTGGAGATTCAGGATGGACAAGGAACTGCAGTGCTGCCCCATAAACCTGGCAGTGCCAGGGGACGGATGTGGGGTGTAAAGTTTTATTGGTGGTGCTCAGGGCTGTGGCCTCCTGGCACTTCCTCCTCCTCCACTTCCTTCTCCTTTTTCTCTTTCTCCTCCTCCTTTCCCTCCTCCTCTTCCTCCTTTTCCTCCTCCTTCTCCTCCTCCAGGACTTTAAAATAATAAACTGGGACTTTCACTCACCCATTGAATTCTGCTGAGCTGGGCGAGGGGCAGCCGAGACCACCCCTCCTGGCACGGAGTGGGGCTGGCACACGGTGGGGACGGGGCTGGGGACCCCCTCAGCCCCCGACCTGAGGAACCCCCCCGACCCTCCCTCTGCCCCAGGACCGCCACACAGAGACCCTCGCACTCACCTCCTGGGGCCGCCCCTCCGTAGGGCCCGGGCTGGGGGCCACCATAGGGGCCGCCGTAGGGACCCCCGGGGGGGGGCTGCCCATAGGGACCCCCGGGGGGGGGCTGCCCGTAGGGACCCCCAGGCGGGGGCGGTCCGTAGGGACCCCCGGGTGGGGGGGGCTGTCCGTAGGGCCCCGGGGGTGGCCCCCCGCCGTAGGGAGCCCCGGGGTAGGGGCCGCCCGGGGGGCCCTGTCCTGCGCCGGGGAAGCCCTGGGGAGGGCACAGAACCGGGGTGAGGCGGGCACCGGGCACCGGGCACCGGGACGGACCCCGCGACAACTCACCCCGCATCCCCCGCCCTGCCAGCCCGGCCCCCTCTCGCGGAACAGCCTCCGGTCCGACTCCCGACCCCGGTCCCTATCCCCGGTCCCTGCCGCTGGTCCTGGTCCCGGTCTCGATGCCCATCCTGGTCCCCAGTCCCGGTCCTAAGTCCCCGCCGCCGCCTCCTGTCCCCATCCCGATCCCGATCCCAGTCCGCGGTCCCGGGTTCCCGCCGTTGCCCTCGGTCCCGGTGCCCTGTCTCGATCCCGATCCCGATCCCGATCCCGATCCCGATCCCGTTCCCGGTTCCCGGTCCCACCTGTCCCGGGTACGCCATAGCGCGCCCTCCGCCCCGGCCCCGCCCCGGTGACGTCACTGGCAGAACCCGCGCCCATTGGCTGAGAAACGCGTCCGCACGGAGACTCCGCCCCCAGGAGAGGCGGGAACGCGTGAGAGCGACGGGACCGGGGAGTCCTTAAAGCGGCAACGGCGACCGGGCGGGTGGGCCCCATCGAGTCCCGCAGGAGCCGCGTCGGGAGCTGCCCGGGAGCAAGGCTGGAGTTCCCCGGGAGCAACGCCGGGATCAGCCTGAGAGTGGAGCCAGGATCCGCCTGGGAGTGGGGCTGGCAACCCCCTAAGATCAGGGTTGGGATTCCCCTGGGAGCAGGACTGACACCCCGCCTAGGAGCAGGGCTGGGATCACCATGGGAGGTCGTCTGGGATATTCCCAGAGATTCCAAGCATGGTCAGGATCAGACCAAGAGCAGGGCCATGATGAGCCTGAGAGCAAGGCGAGAATCCCAAGATGAGAGCTCGGATCTCCCCAGGACCTGGGCTGGGATCCCCACAGATCATGGCTGGCATCTCCTGGGATCAGGGCTGGGATACCCCCAGATCATCACTGGCATCTCCCGGGATCAGGGCTGGCATCTCCTGGGATCAGGGCTGGGATACCCCCAGATCATCACTGGCATCTCCTGGGATCAGGGCTGGGATCTGCTGGGATCAGGGCTGGGATCTCCCCAGGAACTGGGCTGCAGTCTCCCCAGGAACTGGGCTGTGATCCCCCAAGATCACACCTGGGATTGCCCAGAAGCTGAGCTGGGATTTCCCCTGAAGCAGGGCCGGGATCCCCTGGGATCAGGGCTGGGATTCCTCCCAGATCCCCTCATCCATCAGTCCCAGGGTCACAGGGAGCTCGCCCACACTCCAGCTGGGGTGGCCTCATGACCAGCCAGAGCAGCATCCCAGGGGAACAGGGGCGAGGACACGCAGAGATCCCTCTGTGACAGAGATCCCTCTGTGCCAATGATGGAGCAGGAGGCGTGGGGGCACCAGCACAGGTGTATTTGCAGGGCAGGATCCACCTGCCCTCACCATCCCGATGGAGCTGTACAACCCCCGATCCCAGATCCCACCCCCCGGGACAGGCAAGGCCCCGGCACAGCGGGGAAACAACAATATTAACAGCAAAGCCGGGGGGGGGACAGGGACCCTCAGCCGAAGGGACCCTTGACGTTTTTGGGCTGGAAGAGGGGTTGCTCCATGGGCACGGCGCCCAGGCACTCTGCCGGGTTGCAGTGCCCCGCCTTGCCCGGCTGCCCCGTGGCACCGGGGGGGCCGGGAATGCCGGGGATGCCCTGCTGCCCCACGGGGCCCGGGGGGCCCATCTTCCCGTAGCCTGGCGGTCCTTGGGGACCTGGAAGAGATGGAGAGACAGAGAGGGAGGTGACACGAAGTGCTGGGGTGGCAGCAAGCCCCGGCGCGGGGCCGGTGGCCATGTGGAGGGAGGGGGCTCACCTGGGGGTCCTGGGGGGCCACTGTCCCCCATCACCCCAATGCCCTTCTCGCCTTTCTCTCCTTTGGCCCCTGGCTCACCTGGAAGGGATTTGGATGGAGAGGGGTGAGACCCTGGCACGACTGCAACATGCCAGCACCCAGGGACACTGGGAGCACCTTGGGAATGCTGGGAACACCCCGGGGACACTGGGAACACCCCAGAGACACCTGGAACATCCCAGGGACACCTGGAACACCCCGGGGACACTGGGAACATCCCAGGGACACTGGGAACACCCCAGGGACACCCTGAGGACACTGGGAACACCCCGGGGACACTGGGAACACCCCGGGGACACTGGGAACATGCCAGTGACACTGGGAACGCCCCGGGGACACTGGGAACATCCCAGGGGCACCAGGAACCCCGAGAACACCCCAGGGACACTGGGAACATGCCAGTGACACTGGGAATTCCCTGGGGACACTGGGATTGCCCCCGGGAGCAGCACCTACCCCGCATGCCCGGCACGCCCTGCCGCCCCTCTCTGCCGATCTGCCCCGGCATCCCCGGGGAGCCGGGGGGTCCCGGCCGGCCGGGCAGTCCGTCCTTCCCGGGGGGACCGGGTCTGCCCGGGGACGCCACCATCTCCACCGGGAAGTGCAGCCGGGAGGTGTAGTATGCCATCCGCTCTGCGGGGACAGGGACGAGCTCAGTGCCGGCGGGGACGGGGCGGGGACGGGGGTGGGGGGGTCACCTCGTCGCCACCGCCCCGTTGTTACCGTCAAACATCTTGTTCAGCTCCTGCCGGATGAACCTCTTGATCTCGTCGTAATTCACCACGTCTCCCTGGGGGGGACACGAGGGGACACACGCGAGGGGACACGGCCACCGCGCCCCGCGGGGAACGGGGTCCCGCATCCCCCCCTCTCCACGGCCACCCCTCCTTACCATCATCCCCGGGGGGCCCGGCAGCCCGGGGCTGCCCGCGGGTCCCGGAGTGCCGGGGGGGCCCCTCTCTCCCGCGGGTCCCCGTGGCCCCACGAGGCCCATGGAGCCGCTCTTCCCTGGCCCCCCGGGCATTCCAGCTCTGCCCTTCTCCCCGGGGTACCCTCTTTCACCGGGGGATCCGGCTTCACCCTGCGGGGATGGGAGAGGCGGGGCTCAGCCCCGGCATCCTGAGAGGGGCTGTGGGATGCTGGGATGACTGTGGGATGCTGGGATGACTGTGGGGTTCTGGGATGGCTGTGGGGTTCTGGGATGGCTGTGGGGTTTCTGGGATGGCTGTGGGGTTCTGGGATGACTGTGGGGTTTCTGGGA